GGGGGGGGCTTCTCTTCGTTGTGATACGCGGGCTTCTCCTTGCTGTGGCTTCTGTTGTTGCGGAGCACGGGCTCTAGGCGTGCGGGCTTCAGTAGTTGTGGCTCGCGGGCTCAGTAGCTGTGGCTTGTGGGCTGTAGAGTGCAGGCTCGGTAGTTGTGGTGCACGGGCTTAGTTGCTCTGTGGGATGTGGGATCTTCCTGGACCAGGATCGAACCTGTGTCCCCTGCACTGGCAGGTGGATTCTCATCTACTGCGCCACCAGGGAAGCCCCTGAACTATTGTTTCTTGACTGCTTTTCCTTTGTTTATGCATCATCTCTTAGGTTCCAGTTGATCTAGTGGTTGAGTGCTGGACAGGGGGGTTGAAATTCTGCAAGACAGCTCAATAAAGTGCTCAGGCTATCTTTACCATTGAAATAGAACTGGGAGTCTTTACTGATTTATTATCTTTGCTATTGTTACTTCTCTTGCCTGATAACAGTTTGTTCTTTTGTTTCCTTAAGATCGTTATTACTGAGACCTGTTCAAGGGCAAGCATTGTGGCCAGGTTTACATCAAAAATGGCTTAGGCCAAAATGGCTTCTCTTATGTCAAGAAAGCTATGCTGGGTGTCTTTCTCCAGGGACCCCCTACCCTGTCTGCTTACAAGACCAGGTTTTAAGAGGCCTTTAAATATCCCATCACAGAAAAAGAAAGAAATCCTGCCGTCTGCAACAACATGAATGAACCTCAAGGGCGTTATGCTAAGTGAAGTAGGTCAGGGAAAGACAAATACTGTCTAATCTCACTTACATGTAGAATCTAAAAAACCCTGAATTTATAGAAACGGAGAATAGATTGGTGGTTGCCAGGAATGGGGTTGGGAGGAATGGGGGAAGGAGGTCACAGAGTACAAACTTCCTGTTGTAAGATGAGTAAGTTCTGGGGAGTCAATGTACAGCATGGTGACTTATTTATAAAGTCCAGGCCATGACGCTGGAGAAAGCTATGTGGACGGATGCCTTGGAGGATGAGATGCCTTGCAGGATGCCTTGGGGGATGAGATACCTCGAGAAGAGAGCATCCACATGGAGAACTGAGGCATGGAGCCCAGACATGTGAGTCCACTTTGGAACTTCCAGCCTAGCTCAGCTGATAGCAGGTGGAGAAGGGCCAAGCTGTCCTCGTTGAGCCTGACCCATAGGATTGGTGCTTTAAACCACTGAATTTGGGTGATTTGTTAAGCAGCAAGAGAGAACTGAAACAATGCTGTGTTTTTTCTTTGTTTTTTTTTGCGGGGGGGGGGGCGCTAATGTAGCTGATGATTTATCTATTTCAATGCTTCCTCCTGAAAAGAACCAACATCTTTGGTTTTCTGATTAGGTTCTACAGTCTTTTCCTTACACTCCTCCAATACTTTTATGCTGGTGAAATCAAACCAAAATGAATCCAAGTGTAGACACTAAAGGGGAAAATGACTTACACATATGCAAAATGCAGCCGGAGCACATGTGGCCATGGGGGTAGATTAAAAAGGGCTGCTGTATCTGCCTATTTCTCAGGCTGGTAAGGACTATAGGCTGAATGAGTGCACCTAAGTCTCTGGTTCTCTTTTAGCATCAGCTCATAAAGGCTGTGAGAATTCCAAGCAACACAGGGCCAGCTTTGAACCCTGCCACCTTCACGCTAGCGCCAACACTGGTCACTAGTAGAAGATAGAATCTGTGCTCATTGCCTTTAAAGACAATACATACCACATGTCATTATCTGCTGGGCAGGCAGGAGACTGGGAATGTGGGGATCTAGTCGCCTTCACACAGGCCCTGTGGCTGGCCTCTGCTGGTCCTACACTCGCATTTTTTCTGCTGCTGATGACGTGGAGAACCCAACTCTCTCTGCTTCCCGAGGTACCTGTGGATGTGCTGGCTTGACTCTTCCCAAGCCACTCTGGCACTGTGGGCTCTATTGAGACCTGTAGATTTCCACACTATTCACAGGTCACAGGTCCCTCCCTGGTGAAATAAAAAAAACAAACAAACCAATTTCTTAGCTTGGGGGAGGGTTCAGATCTCTACTTTGTTGTCAGCTCAGATGACAAGCTAATTCTTTTAAATTACTGTTGGCAAACACACTTTGTACTCCAGATTCACAAAAGCACACCCAATATATCCATGTTCTTTGTGGACCAAAGGCTTAAAAACCCGTAAGCCAGGACTTCCCTGGTTCGAGCCCTGGGCTGGGAAGGTCCCACATGCTGCAGAGCAACTAAGCCTGTGCACCACAACTACGCAGGCCGCACTCCAGAGCCCGCGAGCCACAACTACTGAGCCCACATGCTGCACCTACTGAAGCCTGTGCACCCAGAGCCTGTGCTCCACAAGAGAAGCCACTGCAATGAGAAGCAACAGAGTAGCCCCCGTTTGCCACAACTAGAGGAAGCCCGTATACAGCAACGAAGACCCAGCACAGCCAAAACAAACAAACAAACCCGTAAGCCATATTCTCAGTTTTCTAATACATAAGGTAGCCGGAATGCCCACAAAGTTATTAAATACTCTCTATCATCCCCCAAGGGGTTGCTGGAGCTGCTAATATTGGCATGGGTAAGAATAACTCATCTTACTGATAGAAGCACTACCTGCCCCTAAATATGGTCACTGCTCTGGGAAAACCCACAGCCAGGACTGTGGGACATCTGAAGCTGCCTTTAGGAAGGTTTAGGGTATGGGCCAAATCACACCTTTAAATGCCTCCTGTGTGTGCTTCCTCCTCCCATCGTTTTTCTATAGGTGAAATCAGATTTTAGATCAAAACAGGAGAATATAGTGTAGGG